GTTACGTAACCTTATAGAAATAGGTTTACTTTTAATTTTTTCTTTAACTACAATTAAGTTGGAGTGTAAGCTTAGCTTTGTAAAGTTGGGCGTGCAACGATCAAGTTTGAGTTCGGTTGTGAAACTACCGGATTAAAGTCAACTTGCTCGTTTTAAAGATTGGGGTCAATTTGATACTAAAACATTAGATTGAGGACCAATGGTGCAAATTTCCAAAATCATTTTTAACACAAGAATTGATAACCTGACATGTCAATTCCTCGAATAGTACGACGGGCTTTACTCCCTTGCGCACGGAAGGAAAGTTTTCAAAATATCTTATTTTAATTATTTTAGGCAACTAAATAATTCTATTTCGAAAATTATATATTCTGAATACACTAAACGACGTCACCTCATTCCCCTTGTCACTTCTCAGTCCACTCAGGTGACAGCTACTTATACTCTCGGTTTCTGTACATTCCATCCTGACGGCGGGATTCGGGTCGGATTTTCTATTCATTTTGCACCGGCTGGTTTATACCTTCTCGGTGCTTCTACTCTCCATTTTCTTTCTCTACAAAACATCCCAGGAAAAAATTAATAATTATAAAAAATTTCTCTCAAAATACTCCCCGGAAGTCTGAACACTGAACTCCGGCGATGTCTTTACCGCCAGTTGGGGGTGACCTTCCGTCTTTTCCGCCCGCAACACCTTCGCCGCCGTTACCTTCTCTTCCGGCAGATAATGCAACCAATCCAACTACTCCGGTGAACTCTACAACTACTGCTCCTCCTGTTAACTTGACTCCGGAGGCGGCTCCGCCTGGCTCATCGAACAGAAATACTACATTGTTAGCTCTGTGTGTGGGGATTGGTATAGGCGGGGCAATTGTGCTTGTTTGCGTGGGTATTTTCGTCCTTTGGTACAAGAGGAGAAAAAGGCGCCTTGGATTGAACAACTTTGCTTATGCTTCTGAGCAAGGGCCGAAAGGTAAACAATATTTTTATGCTTTGAATTGATGAATATGGATTCCATTTTTCTCGAAGATATTAGGTTTCACTTTGGCGGAGTTCTTGTATAATTTCTCTTTTTGATGCCTAATTGTATATTAGATGCGAGTATAGTGAAGAAACTAATGCGAGGAGTCAAATAAATGTATTGCTCTCATTACTGACTAAAATTATCAATTTGAGATATTAATGTATGTCTATAGAGATTAATTCACTGGTGCCATTTGGATTTTAGTTGCTGAATACTTGGGTCTTTTTACTTTATTACTTCTACCATGCTCATGCATCCGTATTACATTGAATATGATGCTGAAATGAAACAATTCTAATCCTTCTCGGTCGTTTTGGTTTGTGTGTATAGTCTTCCAATTTCAGGATTTTGATCAGTTTGTTTGACTTGGGTATCTACGGTGGTAGTTTTGACAATAAGGACTATACAAAAGAATCTTGAAAAGTATTTTATACTGAAGAGATTCAGATAAGATGCCCTTGATTGTTCCAGTAACAATTAAGTACAAAAAGATATCAACACAGTGACAGTATTAACAAATCTTCTTGGTAAGTTGGTATCATATGCCTGTCAAGAGGAAGGTATTTACTATCGGTAAAATCATGATAGTCTAAGAAATGATCGATTTGAAATATCACAACTTAGAATTGTCTAGCATTTTCAAAAATAAAAATACATTCTATCAACTTCTAGTTGATTGAAGAAAACCAGAAAGCAAAATGGTAAATTTTCAGTTGAAGTACCGCCAATCTCTTTTCTCTTTTTTCATGTTCTTTTCTCTAGTTATTTTTTAATTTAAGGATGTAGGCAGATTTACATGG